GCTTTGCTTATAGGTAGGCATTGAAGGTGCTGTGTGCCACTTGGGGCAATACCACGACCAAGGAAGGTTCTGAAAGTCTGGCATAGAATTCAACATTTTATTTTTCCTTTGCTACTACTGCAGGCATCAACATATAATTGTTACCTGTATCCAATGCGATGTCACTATAATATCAATCTCCAGACCAAGCTTAGAAAGAAAATTGAGCCCTGCAAATGTCCAATTAAGCTACTGTGTTTGTATCTTAGTACTGTCAGCAGCAATAAATTCAATCCAGGGACCCTGAAAGACACTGGAGAAAACATGGGCAATGTTTGGATTGATCTTGCCACTGAACTCACTACAAGGTCCAGAGCACTGAGGTCAACACAAGAACTCTGAATTGTGGGTACATGGTTCTCAGAGTAAGCTCAAGACCTCAGAGAGGCAATAACATTCTGCAGAAAATGGGATTGTACATGGTCATCCCTTGAAATCTATGAACATCCCCTTTCACAGAATGGTACAGGTTGAAAGGGACCTCTGGAGATCATCTAGCCCAACCCCCCTGCTAAAATAGGTTCACCAAGAGCAGGTTGCACAGGACTGCGTCCAGGCAGGCTTTGAGTATGTCCAGGGAAGGAGACTCCACAACCTCCCTGGGCAGCCTGTTCCAGTGCTCTGCCACCTTTAATGTAAAGAAGTTTTTCCTCATATTGAGGTGGAACTTCCTGTGCTCCAGTTTGTGCCCGTTGCCCCTTGTCCTGTCACTGGGCACCACTGAAAAGAGTCTGGCCCCATCCTCTTGACATCCACCCTTTAGATATTTATAAGTGGGTAAAGTCCTCTCAGTCTTCTCTTCTACAGGCTAAAGAGCCCCAGGTCTCTCAGCCTTTCTTCACAGGAGAGATGCTCCAGTCTCCTAATCATCTTAGTAGCCCTAAGATAGGGCTTCAGTAGGACTTCAGTAGGGCTTCAGTAGTACTTCTATTTGCTTCATTTCAGACCAACCACTTTGTTCAGCTGCTGCTATTTCCTTCCTTCCTGTCTTCTTCCCTTCTTACTGGAGACTCCAGCAAGAAGTAATAAAAGGAAGAAATTTGCAGTGGTTTATGTGGGATCATTGCTGATCATTTAAAAAAGAAAGGATGTATGGAAAATAGTTGACTCTCCACTGTTCATTCCTCCTCTGCTTGGTCAGACCAGGAGCGCAAACAGGACTGTTTCATTTCCGTTTTTTTCTCCTTGTCCAAGGAGCTAGTGCAGCAGTGTGTTGGGTGGGTTTTGTTTATTTCTTTAAACAAGTGTTAAGGCCTTGCTTGTTCTGCTCAGGCACCACCCTAGGTACAACCTGAGGACAGCATGAATAACTAACAGCAGCAGAGGACCAGCTGAGCACCCCAGAGTGTAGCTCAGCAGTGCAGCAGGGTGAATATGGAATCAGAGCCTGGGTGAAATATGGCATTTGCAGTCTCCACCAACATTGGCACATGGTGTTTGTGTTGACAGCTTGAGCCATGACAGCAAGAGGAAGGGCAAATCCTGGACCCTATTGGAACGGCAAGAAGCAGCACATAAATGTGTCATCCTCTGAGCAGCAACCAGTCTTCCTTAGAGTCCACTCAGGCCATGTTCTTTGAGATGCTGGAAAAGTGTATTTTGAACCTTTGCACATAAGAGAACCCTGTAGTTTGTGTTCTGGCTCTAAAGACAATCTCAGAGTCAGAGAGTAAACTATTATCAAGTACGGAACCCATGGTGATGACTGTACTTCCACAAACCTTAATTTTTCTAATTATAGAAGGAGCTGTGAGATGTAATCTTGGCCACTAAAACTCTCCTACACATCATACAGATGTTCACAGCTCTGGGGCTTTCATCAAGCTGTGAAATACTCAGCAATATAGAATCCTAATTAACACCTCTTATAAAGTCTGCAAAAGTGGTTCACCGGTGTTATGCTGTAAACAGCAATAACTAGATTCCTTGAGCACCTCAAGCAATTGGACAGCAATGTCATTCACACATGCACCTGTGTTGTTTTGCTGCAGCCATTGCAAAGGTGAGCATTGCAAAGAGAATTACTCAGGGCAGAACTGATCCATATGATTTTCCAGACTCCAAACCAGATTATAGCCTAATGATTACCTTCACTACGCAGTTAAGACACACAAACACAAGCTGTTCTGAAAGGCCGCTTCAACTACAAGCACTTCAAGACAATCTGAGTACACATTGACAATTGGAGGAAGAAAAGGGAGAGGTTTATAATTTTTTAAATAAACTTTTAATGAGCTATATAGACACGATCACTGCAAGATCTTCCACCTATATGCAATACTACACACTGCAACACACTGCATTTTCACTGTACATTAAAAACTCTAGGAGGAATATTCCTTCACTAGAAAAATAACATACAATCACTTAAATAAACAAAGATAACATTATAGTGCAAACAAAATCCTGGTTTTATGTATTCTGCAAATACTGAGTACTTTCTAAAAGTCTTATTAAAAAGTAATCAAAAAAACTTTCCCACAAACAACCAACAATTTCCAAGGTGATTTTCTGTTGCTGAACCAAGAAACCTGATCTGACCCTTGAAGCTGTAATAAACTGTGTACATAATGATTTGTATGATGCATATTGATCTGAGTTGTATGAAGCAAGGGATCTTAAGCCAAAACCTGCAAATGGCAATAAAGTGGCACCTGCTGGCTTCAGGTGACTTTTGATCAGGCCCATGACAAGAAAGACTCAGTACAACAGTTATCTTCATGAGCTAAAGACAACGTGCTCAAGGAAGCCTGGCAAGGCCTTGGTTAATGGTGCTGTTGGTTTCTACCAGTAATTGTTGTTAGAGAGAGCAGGGACTTACTTTTCTATTACAGAAGAAGAAGAAAAACAGGCCATAGAACAGCAACAATGCCAGATTCTCAAAAATGCACTTCAACATGCAGAAGAAGAAATATTACATATTTCTGTGCCAAGGGGCATGACGGAGTTGCCAGAGCCCACCACAGACAAAGACTCAGACAGCAGCAGTTGCAATTGGAGTCCTAATCTCTGTGAGCTCTGTCATCTTCATGAACTCCTACTCTGGTGAGAGAAGAATGTGCTAACTTAGAAGTGCCTGCATGCCTTTGCCAATCCAGTGATGTCAAAAAAACAGAGTTCTGCAAAGGCTTTAGGGAGATAAAAAGCACATGTAAGTCAGTACATGAAAAAGGGGACATTTGGTTTCACTTGGACCGGAATGTTGTCTCTTTGTACCCCACTGTGCCACCTTTCTCTCAGAATACCTAAGAATCTATTCCAATGCAGCTTCAAATTCTGAGTGAGACAGGGACAATTTGACGTGCTACTGCTGCTGCACAGAATGACACTGGGCTCCTCACATATGTGTGATCCACTCCTGTTCAAACTGTGTCGGATGTCATAGAAAGAACAAGACAGGCTTAAAAGGAAGAAGAACATTCACCACCAATCATATGGGACATCCTTGAGGTTCTTATCAGATTAGACAATACAATGAAGGACTGCTTTTACAGGTGGTAAGTGGTTTTTCCATTACAATTTTCAGATTTATGCTTCTTTCTAAGCATATGTAAAAGGGAACAGTAGGTAAGAAAGCTAAATTAAATAACACTCAATTTCACGGTCCTATTGCAGTCTGTAAAATACATAAACTGCATATAACCAATTTGCTACTACAACAGCTTATGGGTTAATGCACAACATTCTAGACATAGGTGGGAGATGGCACAAAATGAGGACTACCAGCTTATTGATTCCCCAGTTCCAATTTCTGCATGATTATACTTCTCCACTTACCACATTCAACGAGCATACAGAGCATGCAGAAAATATCTCTCAAGTGAATGGGTACTGAGTTGGCAGGACTAAGGTACAGAACAGCTTCTGCAGTGCTACGGGCTGACAGTGAGTGAAATACAGCAGTAGGCTACTGCTCATGGTGAAAAAGAACACTGGCCAGAAGGTATGTGTCAAGGGACCATGTTTTAAGAATGCCTTGGTATATCAGAAAAACAAATTCTACTCTGCTACATATAAAAGTTCTTATTTATACAGCTGCAAAAGCCATTTTATGGAAAGGCAGTGTACACACACTTGTTAGTCTGCTACATCAGTAGGACATCTGTTTGATCCAGATGAATAAGCAAGTGAAGATTTTGCCTACTAAAGCTTTATAAAAGCTTTTGACCACCCTCATGCATAAATACTAAACCACATATTAAAATGACTCATTCTCAACTACATGGTGTAACTGCCTCAAACAGAATTAGCTGACTGCATCTATGAATGAAACTTGCAAATGAAGACACTAACCCTTAAGAGATTATTGTACCAAAAAGGATAAAAAAGTATAACAAACATTCCCTATTCATAAATAATCGACCACAATTTGCTCTCACAAAATTATTTTAAGATTGTGTACCTAATAGGAGTTCAACATTTGACTGTCCCAAGAAACTGCATTAAAAACCCCAAACCCCACCAAGCTAAGTGACCAGAGCCACAGGGACTTGCCTGCTAAGCAGCTCCTTCTCAGGTCCACCAAGTACACCCTAGGGTCCCCCAGAGTCAGGTTACTTTTTCATATCGAGAAGTTTCTCAGGGTAGCAAGAGAATAAAAGTTTCATGCTTAAGTTGCTGGTGTTTTAGTGCTGAGAACTTCTTGACTCTTCTCAAAACACGGAGGAAGAACTTTCGTTGGGAAGTACTTTCATTCACAGAGAAGCTCTGGGAAGGTTATCTCTTCTCCTTGCACTAAAATAAGATTTCTTTCTCCTGTGTAGAAGCAGTTACGAGGCATGCTGCAGCATAGAAGTACCCTATATACAGTCCCATACACAACTCTGCAGAACACCCATGTTCCCAAGACTAAAGGCTGCTGCTCTCCATCAGAGACTCAAGTGCTGAATTCAGGCAATGAATTCTGTGCAACCCAGCTTACCTCTCACCTCCCATTCACAAGAAGGGGTGAGGCTAGGTTATTAGAGGGTCCGCACAGCCACAGGGTAGAGCAGTGCCAAGTGTTCTGCTCCTTTGATAGGCAGCTTTTTTGTGGTGTAGTAGTGGATGACTTCAGGAACACTGTTGAAGGGAGGGCTGTTCTGACCCAGGATGTATTTCTCTTTGGTTTTCGTCAGTTTCATGTGCATAAAACCTTGACTGCTCCTGCAAGAAAAGCAAAGCATTAGTTCATGCTGGTGCATAGGGAAGAGGGGAGTAGCACCATGACAGGCTGTCCTTCATGATGGAGGGGAATGGAGAACAAAATGCAAGTAGTTGTTGGGTGACAGGCCAAGACAGTGGCCAGACTCTGACAGAGAGTGACTGCTAGGTGCAAATCCCCGTGGACAATCCAACACAAAGGCAGTCTAAGCTACTATTTTGTTTTCACCACCTATGCTGTCTGGATCCAGCTGCAAGGCCATCTCACCCTGGAATTGATCCAGAGATGTGCCAGAGGATAACTCTTTCCTGTTGCCACCTTTCACTACAGCCAATCACTACTTCTGGACCAAAAAGTATCATCGTTTTTGGTCTGTCTGAGGCCTGAGGCTCTCTTCATAGACAAGTAGGCAGGCCATGAGCCTCACTCACATGGCAAGGCCTGCCCTGTCCTGTGGAGGCCTTAGGACAGACCACACCCATACCACGCTGGCAGCAACTGGCCAAAACATGGCTATGTGCAGAACCTGGTGGCTTCAGCTGGGAAAATTTCCTCAGATGAGCCTGTTCCCAAGATTAATGGCATAAAGATGTTCACCTGCACTGTACTGAGTAAAGGCTGCTATCTTGCAGCCTTTCTGCAGGCAGAAACTGGCCTGTGACTTCCACACCAGAAGCATGCAATTCCTAGATGACCCACCTGCCTGCACAGTACACTGCCTCTTTGAGGGAAGGGTCATGACTACACAGGGAGAAGTGGCACGCTAACTGCCTTGTCTGCTCCTGCAAAAGCAACACATCCACCATGATGCCACTCTTAACGGGTAGCACCCACACTACCATATAGTACAGTGGCTGGTAAAGCTGATACCATCTCTTCCCAGCAGTGACCCTTCAGTGTCTGCTGGTTATAGCATGTCATACAGGCTATTTTAAGTGTAAAGTTTAACCAGGACAAAATAAAAGCAAAGGACAGCTCCTAGACTTCAAGATGTTAAATGAGGCCTAGAGGGTTTTTACAGCTTGCTTGACGTCCCAGTCCCTAACTTTCTGGTTGCAAACCATTGTTTCTTCCAAGTGTGTCCAAGGACAAAGACAATAGTGTTAAAACTGGAGTTTGTCTATGCCAGCAAGGAAACCCAGTTTACAATGACACAGAAAGCTACAGCAGGAAAACAAATCATGCTATGTTAAAAGCAGCTTCTCTAAAATCTGCCATTCTCTAGTTAGCAGGTGCAGCATTTCCTCCAGAAGTGCATGTAGCACAATGAAGTTCATATCTTTCAGATGTGTTTAACAATTCTTTGATGAAGTGACCCTTTCTGGTGAGCTGAAACCACTGCAGGCACTGTAATTATAGCTCTACGTGCTTAAAATCTTTCTTTAAATATCAATGTCTTGGCAGAAAAAAAAATCTCTCAAATCATAATTGCTCTCTAAATTATTTCCTTTAAACAAGGGTGGCATCTTTAAATACTTTATTAAGATGACAGAAGTATTGTTCCCTTCCTTCAGCTCATTATGCATATGCTTTGCTATAAAATATCTTAAAAGTGTGCAGATAAATTAATGGAATCACAGGTGCATCCTAATTTCAGGAGAACTAGAGAACAATCTGCCAAGTGCACTTAATGCAGAAAGGGCAAGGACACATGCCCTTTTTAAAACAGAAAGAAAATATAATGTAAACAAACTGCTATGAGCCATTTGTTCATGACAGATAGCTCTTGCTTTCCCCACAAGAACCTATGTAGGTACTTAGGTTTGAGTAGTTGTCCTGGTTTGAGCTAACCTGGAACTAATTCTGTTCAGTGATTTTGATTTTCAGTTAAGTCTCTTCTAAGTATCTGCACTTTCTGAAATCAACAGCATGTTTTTCCAGACAGTGACTGCTTCTAGTAGTGATAGTGCTTGATGTTTATAGTTAATATCAAGGCAGAAAGGCCTTGATAGTATGCAGAAAGGCTCTTGCTCCTATAGCAACCAAAGTCACTGCTAAATCTTGTGCCCATGTTCAGGCCCAGGAAGTGAAAAGCTTCACAAGTATGTAAAAAGGTTGCACCTGCAGGGAGAAGCGAACAGGACAGGTGACCCAAAACTGAGCAACTAAGTATTCCATTGCATATAGATCATATGCAGCACAAATCTGAGGGATCACAAGGGTCAAGCCTTCTTCTTCAATGGCCAACATCTGAGGAGGACTCTGTCCATTCTTCTGTCTTTGATTCCAATCTGTGCATTCCTGAATCCAGTGCTTGAATCCAGCTCCTGCATCTGGCTCCTGTCTGCTGCTGAGTCCAGCATGGGACTTCCCCAGTGCCAGCCCTACAGTGTCAGCGGTGATGTATCATCATCAGGGAGCGTTCAGTTCTGTACTGGTTTTATATATAGAATCATAGAATCACAGAATTACAGAACAGTTTCGGTTGGAAGAGACCTTCAAGATCACAGAGTCCAACCTTTGTCCTATCTCTATCAACAACATTAAACCATGTCCCTACGTACTACCTCTACCTGTCTCTTAAACACCTCCAGGGATGGTGACTCCACCACCTCCATGGGCAGGCTGTTCCAATGCTTGACAACCCTTTCAGTAAAGAAATTCTTCCTAATATCCAGCCTGAACCTCCCCTGGTGCAGCTTAAGACCATTTCCCCTTGTTCTATCGCTTGTTACTAAGAAGAGACTGACCCCTGCCTCGCTACACTTTCCTTTCAGGTAGTTGTAGAGAGCCACAAGGTCTCCCCTCAGCCTTCTCTTCTCCAGGCTAAACAGCCACAGAACCCTCAGCCATTCCTCATATGAGACATACTCCAAATCCTTTACTAGCTTGGTAGCCCGTCTCTGTACCCTCTCCAGCACCTCAATGTCCTTCTGGTAGAGAGGGGCCCAAAACTGGACACAGTACTCGAGGTGCGGCCTCACCAAAGCCCAGTACAAGGGAATGATCACCTCCCTACTCCTGCTGACAACACTATTCCTGATACAGGCCAGGATGCCATTGGCCTTCTTGGCCACCTGAGCACACTGCTGGCTCATGTTCAGCCAGCTGTCAATCAGCTCTCCCAGGTCCCTCTCTGCCTGGCAGCTCTCCAGCCACTCCTCCTCAAACCTGTAGTGCTGCTGCGGGTTCCCGTGGCTGAAGTGCAGGACCCAGCACTTGGCTTTATTGGAACTCATGGAATTGGCCTTGGCCCAGCAATCCAGCCTATCTAGATCCCTATGTAGAGCTTCCCTACCCTCAAGCAGACGGGCATTTCCACCCAGCTTGGTGTCATCTGCAAACTTACTAAGGGTGCACTCCATCCCCTCATCCAAATCATTGATAAAGATGTTAAACAGGAGTGGCCCCAGTACTGAGCCCTGGGGGTTACCGCTTGTGCCGGGCTGCCAACTGGATTTAACTCCATTGACCACAACCCTCTGGACTCCGCCATCCAACCAGTTTTTCACCCAGCAAAGCGTATGCCCATCCAAGCCAAGAGCAGTCAATTTCTCTAGGAGAACGCTGTGGGAAACAGTGTCAAATCCCTTTCTAAAGTCAAGGTAGATGACATCCACAGCCTCTCCCTCATCCAACAAGCGGGTCACCCTGTATTTCATTATTTCCTTATTTTTATATTTTCTTTTATTGCTATTGTTTCATTAAAGCTGTTTTTTGTTTTCTTTTCCAACCTGGAACTCTCTCTCCCTTATTCACTCTCACTTCCCCTTCTGGGAGGTGAGAGGAATTAATAGAGAACATCTGTCATTCATTAATGGTCAGCCCAGCCTCAACCCATGACAGTAGTATATACTGATTGAGCTTAAAGTATATGATGCCTGTGGCTACCAGAATTCCAGAAATTAACTAGAAGCATCTCCTCTATATCATGACAGGTTAGCCTTTTATGAGGCCACACTGTGAAGATGAGTAAAAAAGAATGTGACCTAGAAGTCATGGATAGCAGCCTAATTGAATTCAACCAAGACAAATAGAAAGCTTCTGTCCTTGGGATGCAAGCTGGGGCATGACTGGCCAGGAAAGGAACTACAGTGGACAGGACACAGAACACGATTCAAAAGTCCGCCCATGAAGGCCTACTGCAGCCTGGGCTGTGTAGCAAAAGTATAGCCAGCTGCTGGAAGAATGTGACTACTTGCTCTAGTGAGCACTGGTAAGGCTGCATCTCTATCTGTAACTGTAACTGGTGTGAGGACCTCCCATCAAAAAGAGAAGCCAACACTGAAACAAGTCCAGAGCAGCGCCACTAAACATGGTCTGAGAGTGGAAGACAGGCTGAGGGAACTGTCTCTGCTCAGTCTGAAGAAGAAAAGGTGAGATGGAAGGTGTCAGGTTGCAGTCATCCATTGCCTAAGTGAAGAGTTACAGAGAAGAGGAAGTTTCTGAGAGTCAACAAGCACAAGCTGCAACAGAAAGAGCACTCAGCAACAAATCATTTGGCAACCTGATGAGTGTGTCCTGCTTGGAGTAAGGGGTTGGACTAGACACCTCCAGAGGTCCATTCCTAACTAGACCTCTCTAAGAGTCTATGATTAATGTTTACCATCTGTGTATTTTCAGAAACCACTAAGTAGAGCTTCTAGTTCAACAACAATTTTGATTTGAAACATTTGTAAAAAATCTATTATTAAAGAAAAAATATCAAAAAAGAATCAAAGAAACCTGTGAAATTAAATTTCAGGACTCCTAAGTAAAACTTGCCTGAAATTGAAAACGTGTTTTTTGGTTTTATTTCACAAGAAAGCACAATAAAATCCAACTCCATTTCAAGCTAGACACAAAGCACTGTTAAGGGAAAGACCTGCAGAAGGACAAGTTTTGACACTTGAGAGGTTCAAGAAAGTGAGAAGTCAATTCAACGTGATGGCAGACACTACAAGGTGCAGGCTGCATGGCAGATTGCTCACCCACCTCCTGCTGTTTGGATTTGCCCTTTGCCAACCAGCCAGCAGGGATGACATTACCTTGCGGCTGTCTATATATAGAGAAATCTTGCAGT